AAGCCTCCCTGCAAATGAGAAAAATATTGGAAGGAAGAAATATTTCATTGTTTTTGAAAACCTGTCTTACTGACCCAGAATTTTAGCTTCAAACATGTCCAAACCCTGAGTGCCTGTGTTTAGATGAATGGGTAGCTGAGAGTGAGGCCTATTGACAGGGTTAGTCATTGGGTAGTGTCGTCTGTTTTTCCAGCAGCATCAACATTCGGGAATAGGATTCAGACCTGTTAAGGACAGGCATGACTCCAGAGAATAATGGAGCCCTCCTTTGTCTATTGGACATGTTGAAGGTGTGGACTAACACAGGTCAGTGAGGAATGAGATGTGGTCAGCCTGCACAGTCATTTCTGTGACCAGCCTGGTCTTTAATTCAGAAACTGATGCCCTCCCAGGGTTGCATACTACAGAGATCTTATTTGATACCAGACTTGATTCTTGAAAGACTAAAGCAATTTGGACAGAGCCGGGATGCCGTGAAGCTGCTCTTCTGGCTATTGGGCATTAGTCCCTGCACATGCGTACTCAGACCGTCTTTGAGAGGCCCTGGGAGGAAAGCAAATTGTTCATGTGTGCACAGCTGCTGACAGAGGGCTGGCTGCACCAGTCACTCCCCCGATTCACAAAGGTGATGTTGTGGCAACTGCTGGCTGCTGCCAAACCTCTGAGGCCCCCAGGGACCCCAGGCCAGCCTCCTCATGCAGAAGAACTTTCCATATCCTTTCCCCTACAAGGTCATCGATGCTTCTCAATGGCTGCTCAAGAACTAAAATAAAGACTACACATTTTCATGAAAGAAAAATTTAAAAAACAAAAGAACTACTGGCAAGTCAGTTCCAACTCATAGAGACAAACTGCATCGTGTGTTTCCGTAATAGTTAAGGAAGCAAATTGCTCCATCTTTCTCCTATGGAAGCACTGACGAATTCAAACTGCCAACCTTTCCATTAGTGTCTTTTAACTGTTACATTGCCAGAGCTTCTTTAAAGAATGCTCTTTAGAGGCAAGGATGGTGAGGCTTTGTCTCACGTTCGTTGGGTATTATCAGGAGGATTGAAAAAGGATATCATGCTTGGCAAAGTAAAAGATCAGAGAAGGAGAAAAAGACCCTAAACTAGATGAAATGGCATAGTGTCTGCAGCAATAGATTTGAGCACAGCAGAGTTTGTGAAGATGGTATAGGATCATCTAGGCTTCCAATCTGCAGTTCACACACTCTGGCTGGAGGGCCTTGGCAATCATTCAAGTGAAGTTCTCTCATTTCCCTTACAAATGTCCGCTTCTCTGCTCCTAAGAAGGTAGAGGTCAGTGAGATGAAGAGAAACTGAGGGAGCGAGCTATAATCCACCTCTAACTTGACTTAAAATAAAAATAAGTTCTAGAGAAAACACAACATGAACCAGAGCTGAGGGCTTCAAACCTTGGCCAGAAGGCACACATTTGGCAAGTGTACTTGGCAACAACATAATGGCATCAATACATCTGTTTTCTCATTAGCAAAATGAGAAAAAAAAAGTTTAGGGGATACCAACATGAAAAATGGCTGCTCCAAGTTCTCTGGGGTGCTGGACATTCTTGAGGCCTTAATGTCATTAAAGTAGCTCTCAGAAATTGTCAGTGACAGGACTGCCACTGTGTGGAAGACCATCACTGCGGTCACAAGTGAACAAGTTCTTAAGGAACACACACACACTTCACCTGTGCTGCTCAAGTGCATGGAGGGAGGCACTAGGTCCTGAACTTCCTTTATACATTATGGGCAAAGAGCAAGGAGGCCTAGATGGGGCTGTGGGGGTGAGGCCTGTCAGGCCCAGCATAGGGGCAGATGGGTGGTCCATCCCTGGGTTAGTAGGCAGAGGGTCTAGAGGTATCAAATGTCTCTGAAGAGCCACTTCTACAAGGTACTGGATAGTTCTCTAAGAAAAAAGTGTTGTAAATATGGAGAAGTCTACAAACAGAAAATATGAAGGAATGAGTAGGGAGAAAGACATGTATTTTTCTGAAATAGGGGTTGGAAAGAGTATATAGCTCAGTGGGGCTTGTTCCTTAGGAGCCTCAGGCCTCACTTCTGCCCTCGCAGTTCTTGGAGCTAGTTGGTGCATTCCAGAACCATCTGTGCAGCCTCTGCCTCACTTCTGCCAGAACTGTCTAAAGTGCTGTTTGTTGTTGTTATTATTGTTATGTGCCGTCGAGTCGTTTTCGATTCATAGCGACCCTATGCACAACAGCCCTAAACCCTGCTCTATCCTGCGCCAACCGCACCACCTCTGACACACCCATCCCGATTACCCCAGTCACCGAATCAATCCATCTCATAGAGGGTCTTCCCCTCCTGCGCTGTCCCTCCACCCTCCCAAGCATGATGTCCCTCTCCAAGGACCCATCCCTCCTGGCAACATGTCCAAAGTATGTCAGACGAAGCCCCAGAATCCTTGCCCCCAAGTAGTAGCTTGGTTTAATCCTCTCCAAGATGAATCTGTTTGTTTTCCTGGCAGTCCATGGTACATTCAGTACTCTTCTCCAGCACCACAGCTCAAAAGCATCCACTCTCCTTCTGTCTTCCCTAGTCATTGTCCAACTCTCTGATGCATAAAAAGCGACTGCAAATACCATGGCCTGTATCAGGCACACCTTAGTCTCCAGAGAGACACCGTTGTTCCTGAGTACTTTAGAGAGGTCCCTAACAGCAGACTTTCCCATCGCGATACTCTTTTTTATTTCCTGACTGCTGGTGCCAAGAGTGTTGACTGTGGAGCCGAGCAAACTGAAGCTGTGAACAATCTCAATCTCTTCGTCATCCATCCTGACGCTGCCAATTGGTCCAGTGGTGAGAATCTTTGTCTTCTTGACATTGTGCCTCAGTCCATACTGAAGGCTGCAGTCCCTGACCCTTCACAGCAAGTGCATGAGGTCCTCCTCGGTTTTAGCAAGCAGGGTTGTGTCATCTGCATAACGCAGATTGTTATAGATCTTCCACCAATCCTGATGCCACAATTCTCCTCATAGAGCCCAGCCTCTTGGATAATCTGCTCTGCATACATGTTGAAAAGGTACGGAGACAGGATGCATCCCTGGCGTACACCCTTCCCAATTTTGAACCATGCAGTGTTTACTATTATTTTTTTTTAATTTCCATTCATTCATTGTTGCACACTTTCCTCCTTGCCCACCCCAGCCCCCAGTTCACTTTTTTCTTTGAAAAGTAAAAAAAAAAAAAAAAAGAAAAAGAAAACACCCAAAAAACAACCTTTCATTATTATACAATTCCCCCCTCCCAGTCCACACCACTGCTCAGCTTTCATTCTGGATTCTTGTCATGACAATAATACCTAATCATATATTCCTCCTAATCAGTTCTGTCCCTCATCTGTTTAGTTGGGCCACGTCTTTTTCTCCACAAAACTGCCAGTAGGTGCCTTGCTAGAGGAAGTGAATTTGACAACAGAAATGGTAAATGTGGATTCTTTCTCCTCAGAGATGGTCATTTCATTTCCTCTACTGTCTTGGTTTTATTTCAAATATGTTATTAACTCAGAGGCACAGGGAACATTTTTCACTGTTTACCGTCTGTGGCATTAGCCAAGTGTGGAGCTAGGTTTGGAAGGGATTGACATTTCTATCATTTGAAGGGATTTAATAAGAAAATATTAAGTATGTGAACCCGTCGAGGGCCTGGGAAGGGGCTTGTGACAGTAACAACCCTGGAAGCATCTTCCTGAGCTTGCAGTGTGGTTACTCTTGGAGTGTGCACTTCCTAAGGAAACAATACTGACCTGGAGTTGACCTTCACTTCCTCCTCTTCATCATCATCACCTTGTGTATGTTTTTGCCAGAGTGGGAGGCCAGCTCTGGGAGGAATGTGTGGAGCTTTCGGTTGCTCATTATAGTAGATAGTTGGGGGACCAGAGATGGGAAGAAACTGCTCACAGCTAGCTGTCAGTGGAGGCAGGCCCAGCCTGGAGTGGAGGTGGGTCATGTCCTGTATCCATCTGCTTCCTGTCCAGGAGCCTCAAGGCTGTGGCCATCGCCTGGGATCAACTGCAACCAGGGCAGCTTCCAAAGAAGGACATGAGTTGCTCTGATGCCAGGGCCTCACGCAGTCTGGAGAGGGAGATGGTAGGAGTGCCAGAGAAAAGGGCACCCACAAGTGGAGGGTGGCAAAGAGCCCCCTCTGCAAACGGAACTGAGGAAACCAAAGAACCCAAGTGAAATTGAAACCCAAATGCCCAACATGGAGCTCTGCTGGGATTTGAAAATGTTGCCACTACACAGTCCTGCGCCCACAGCCCAGTGGGTGCAGATGCTCATGGGGCGGGGGTGGGGTGGGTGCATTCAGAGCATGGTCCATGAGAAACCAAGAGTAGTTCTCTGGCAGTGAGTCTTGCCTTTGTTGCAATATGCTTTCTCTGTTCTGAACAATCTGTCAAAGAGTTTATTTTGATGATCATGCAAAATAATCAGGCTTTCTAGATTCTTAGACCTCTTTGAGCATTTGACTTGTTCTACAAGGACTCCAGCCTCTACTCGCCTCTGCAGACCCTCAGATTTCTTGTGTAGGCATCTAATTACAGGCAATAGACTCTGAATATGGCTCTGAGGGCTCCGTATCTAGGACCTTAGAATCCAGGTCAGCCCTGCAGCACAGACACATCAAACCTGTGGGTCGCATCTTTGTTCCATGCCCTGACACCAGCCTCCCAGCTGGCCGAGAATACCAGGGGTCTTTCTGGCACCATGATGTACTTTGTTAGCACCACCGTGGAGAAGTGCACAGTAGAAAGGAGCCAGAGTTACCAACCTCACTCACAAGTCATGCCTGCAGCCCATGCATTATTCCTGGCTGAGACTGGGCCTTGACCTGCCTCGAAGGGTCCCCAATAGTAACTGATGAGGTGTGCACATCTCACCCACATGAGGGAGAAAGCAGCTGCTACCCTGTTGTCCTAGGAGAGCGAGTGCTGGGAACACTCTTCTGAGAAGTGTCATTGAAGCTGAGAACAGTCATGCCAGTAAGCTCAAGTTAGAGACCCTTAGCTGCCCAGCACAGCATGGAAAATAGGCGCCTTTCATTTGCGTAAGTCCCCTTCCCCTGTGTCTGCAGGCCCTGGTGCTGTCACTACAGGTTCCCCGCATCTGTTCTGCCTTCCCAGCACAGCCCCTCATGCTCGTGTCCTCTCTCTGCCCTTCAAGGCTTAGCCTTGTCCATTCTTGCAGGCAGCTATGGCCCCACTGTCACAGTCCCAGCAGTTGTAGGAAAGGCCAGCAGTTGCTTGCCTCGCTCCATGTGGACAGGGATGCTTCCTTCCCTTCTAGCTCCACTTCCTACCACCCCTATCCCCAAACTCCTCAACCCAGAATTTGTATGGAGGGTGGAAAGTCACTCCAGTGGGATGTTTCCTTTGGGTGTAGAGTTATCAATCCCTAATGAAAATTAGTTCATTAGCTGGTTAACAGGTGTAAGATGGGTGCTGACCCGGGGTGGACAGGGGCAGGGATGAGTTAGCAGTGTGGCATGGGCATCTACTGCTCATAACATGAAATAGGGCATGCAGCTTACCTTTCAACCCCTCTATGTTCATCTGTGAAATGAAGACAGTCATTAACTCTGCATGCCCAAACCTTAACAAATTAGGGCCAGCCAGTGGCTGAAAGCACTGTGTAAACTGTGATGCACTTCACAAACATAAATGCACATAAGGCATGATGCCACCTAGAAGAACAGCTTTTAAAAAATTTTTTATTTTATTATTTTTCTGTGTCTGTGTACCATCAAATCAGATCTGACTGGTACAGGAGAAGTCTGTTCCTCCTTCTCCAGCAGAGCATCTGGTGGATTTGAACCATGCACCTCTGGGATTACAGTGCAGCTTCTGACCACTAGGCCAGCAGCTTTTTTGTTTTTAAGGATGGTATGGAGCTGTGGGAAATCAGGCCACAGGGTACGGGGCTGATCAGTGCTCAACTGGCCACATTTGCAGGATGCCCCTGCCTCGAGCTGTGTGGGATGAGGAAGGAAGTCAAACTTCCTCCCAAGAATTTTATTTGGGGCCAGGTCCACTCAGTCCCTGCTTCGGGTAAAGCCAAGGAGCTCCTATGTATCAACAAGTTCCAGAGGCGTCCAGGGATTCAGCTTTGTCAGGAACATGCATTGAACCAGTGAGTCATCCAGTGGGATCTCTGAGGTGGAGACAGCCTGGCAGTGCCCCAGGAGACAGCAGAAGCTGCTTCCTCCACAGCCTCACTCCACTGCCTAGGCCCGAGGCCAGCCAGGCCACTTAGACCACATGCCTCCCAACTACCCAGCTCCCCCCTCTGGCTTTTAGAAATAGGATGAACTGCATAAGAGTTGGAACTAAGCTGGACTGCCTTGTTTTTCTGAGTCTTGTGTTTTGCTTTTGACTGGGTGTAGACTTACCACTTTCCTGTCAGTGACTTTTAGTGGAAATTTTTTTAGTTTTCCTTCTCTAATAGGTTTCCACTTTATACAGGTTCTAGCTTTTGAAGGTTTTGGTGTATTCTTTATTATAGTTTTACATTGCAGAAAAAAACTAAACCTAAAAACAGAAGTTATCTACCAGCCTATCCCTGGAGGTAATTATCTTTACTTTTTTTATTTGAGTTTGTTCTTTGTGGGTCCCCCCCTTGCTGGTCTTATTAATCAGGGTATACTAGGTTCTACTGAGATAAGACATAACCCACTCATGAAATTGGAAGATCTTCTCAGAGGAAGTAAAGACTTCCCCACATCCCCAATACCAAGGCCCTATCCCTTCCCTAATTAAGAGCTCGACAAAATCAGTGAAATTTGTCTAGTAACAAACTATAAAAATGATCCCTGAAAGTATATTTCAGAGACCTGGAAGACTGCTACCTAATTAACTGACTGGAAAAGATCTATATTTGTTCTATTCACAAGATAGGTGACCCAACACAATGTGGAAATTATCAAACAATATAGTTAATATCACATGCAAACAAAACATTGCTGAAAGTCATCCAGAAACAACTAGAAGAGTACATTGATAGAGAACTGCTAGGAGTTCAATTAGGTTTTAGAAAATGCTGTGGCACCAGTGATATCATTGCTAGTGTCAGGTGAATTTTGGCTGAAAACAGGGAATGCCAAAAGAATATCTATTTATGTTTTCTTGACTATGCAGAACATTTCACTGGATGGATCGTAATAAACAATGGCTACCATTGAGAAGAATGGGAATTCCAGAATCACTTAATTATGCTTATACTAAACTTATACCTAGACCAAGAGGCTGTCGTCTGAACAGAGTAAGGGGACATAACGTGGTATGGAATCAGGAAAGGCATGCATCAAGGCTATAATCTTTCTCCACACCTGTTGTTGTTGTTACGTGCTGTCAAGTCATTTGTGATTCATAGCGACCCTATGTACAACAGCCTTAAACTCTGCTCTGTCCTGTGCCAATTGCACTGTCTCTGATACACCCATCCCAATTACCCCAGTCACTGAATCAATCCACCTCATAGAGGGCCTTCTCCTCCTGTGCCGTCCCTCCACCCTCCAAAGCATGATGTCCTTCTCCAAGGACCAGTCTCTCCTTACAACATGTCCAAAGTATGTCAGATAAACCCTCAGAATCCCTGCCTCCAAGGAGCAGCCCAGGTTAACCCTCTCCAGGATGAAGTTGTTTGTTTTCCTAGCAGTCCATGGTACCCTCAATACTCTTCTCCAGCACCACAGCTCAAAGGCATCAATTCTCCTTCTATCCTCCCTAGTCATTGTCCAACTATCTGACACATAACAAGTGATTGCAAAGACCATGACCTGCACCACATGCACCTTAGTCTCCAGAGACACTCATTGCTCTTCAGTACTTTGGAGAGGTCCCTAACAGCAGACTTTCCCATTGCGATATGTCTTTTAATTTCTTGGCTGCTGGTGCCAAGAGTGTTAACTGTGGAGCCAAGCAAACTAAAGCTGTGAACAATCTCAATCTCTTCACCATCCATCCTGATGCTGCCAATTGGCCCAGTGGTGAGAATCTTTGTCTTCTTGACATTGAGCTTCAATCCATATTGTAGGCTGCAGTCCTTGACCCTCTGCAGCAAGCACTTCAGGTCCTCCTCAGTTTCAGCAAACAGGGTTGTGTCATCTGCATAACGCAGACTGTTGATAGATCTTCCACCAATCTTGACCCCACGTTTCTCATAGAGCCCAGCCTCCCGAATAATCTGTTCTACATCAGGTTGCAAATGTATGGAGACAGGACACTTACTCATCTGTATAAATCTGGTGCTGACCACAGTTCTTGGAAGCTGAGCCTCTTGAGAGACTGATCTTGGATTCCTCAATCTGTATAGATCTATCAGCCATAAGAAGCCTCCAGCCTGAGGTGTGACTTAGACACTTGAGACTGACACCTTCAAGATTCAATGTTGCACTCAGAAAGTCTGCAGTCAGAGACCTCCCCAAATTATTTCAATGATCTCCATTTGATGACTAAGGTGTGCCTGATTCAGGCCATGGTCTTTCCAGTCACTTACTATGCACCTGAGAGCTGGGCAATGAATAAGGATGACAGAAGAATCGATGCGTTTGAGCTGTGGTGTTAGAGAAAAGTACTGAATATCTAATGGAGTGCCAAAAGAACAAATAGATATGTCTTAGAGAAAGCCAGCATGATCCTTGGAGGCAAAGATCATAAAGCTTTGCTCACATATTATGGGCATGTTGCTAGGAGAGTCTATTCCTTGGAGAGGAACATGATGCTTGGAAAGGCAGAGTTAGTGAAAGAGAGGAAGGCCCTCAACAAGGTGGATTGACACAGTGACTGCCTCAGTGAGCTCTAATGTGTCAGGAAATATGAGGATAACACAGTATAGGACAGAGATTAGATCTGTTGCTCGTAGGGTCACTAAGGGTTGTACTTGACTCAGTGGCATCTAACAGCAACTAACAATGTTCAGTCTATATGCTGTGTAAATAATTTGCAAAGCTGAACTTTACAAAGAAGAGAATAGCCTCAGGATTGGAAGAAGACTCGTCAACAACCTGCATTATGCAGATGACACAACTTTGCTTGCTGAAAACAAGGAAGACTTGAAGAAGCATTTGCTGCAGATGATCAAGGCTTGCACAGTCTTCAATATGGATTATATCTCAATATAATTAATATAGATTATAATATCAAGAAAACAAATATCTTAACCACTGGACCTATACACAACATCATGATAGGTGGAGAAAAATTGAGATTGTAAATTATTTCATCTTGCTTGGATAAGCAGTCAACACCCTTGGTATCAACAGCCAGGAGATGTATAACATTGGGAAAGCCTCCTATCAGGGACCTCTCTGAAGTCCTGAAGAACAATGATGTTAGTCTAAAGACTAAGTCATGCCTGATTAAAGCCATGGCTTTCCAGTCACCTGCTATACAACTAGACAATGAATAATGATAATAGGAGATGAATTGATGTCTTTGAGTTTTGGTATTGGAGAATATTATAGAATATCTCATGGAATGCCAAAAGAACAGATATGTCTTGGAGAAAGTGAAACCAGAGTGCTCCTTTGAGGCAAGGATGGTAAAGCTTCATCTCACACACTGAGCATATTACTAGGAGAGGCTATTACCTGGAAAGACATATCATGCTTAGAAAGGTCGAGGGTCAGCAAAAGAGAGGAAAACCCTCAGTGAGATGAATTGACATAGTGAATAAAGCAATGGGCTCAAATGTATCAGAGATGATGAGAAAGGCACAGGACAGGGTTCAGTTCTGTTGTTCATAGAGTTGCTATGTGTTGTACTCAATGCCAGTGCACCTAACATCAATTCAAGCCATAGACTTTTCAATTACTTCCTATGCATCTGAAAGCTGGAGAATGACAAGGTCCAGAGTGAAAAACAATGTATATGAACTTTATGAACTTTGTATGTAAACCAGTATAAATTTTTTTTTTTTAAAAAAGGAATGACCAAAAAGAAACCAATGCCTTTGAGTTGTGGTGTTGGAGAAGAGTACCAACTATCGCATGTACTTCAAAAGAACAAACAAATCTGTCTTAGAGGAAGTGCAGCCAGGTGCTCCTTAAAGGCAAGGAGGTGAAACCTCATTCCATGTACTTGGGGCATATTGTCAGGAAGAATCAGTCTTTGGAAAAAGACAGAATGCTTGGAAAGTTGGAGGATTAGAAAAAGAGCAGAAGACCCTACACGAGATGGATTGACACAGTGACTGTATCAATAGGCTTGGACAGATCAGAAATCATGAGGATGACACAGACTAGAGCAGGGTTCAGAACTGTTGTTCAGAGGGTTACTGTGCGTGAGTCATGTTGACTTGATGGCACCTAATAACAACCATCCTTTTCCAGCAAATTCTCCCTTCTCCTTTTAAAAACCAGTTACCAGCAGACTCTGACTTCTGGTGGCCTCATGTGTTGGAGCAGAATTATGCTCTATAGGATTTTCCATGGCTGAGGTTTTGGAGATCCAGCCCTTTCTTTTGTGTACATCTAGAGGGACTCGAACCACCTACCTTCTAGTAAGCAACCCAGCACATTGACTATTTCTTTGCACCACCTGGAGATTCCACCTCTTTCTTTGTCATTTTTTTACTCTCAACACACAGTTGAGATGGAAAACTGAGATTTTATTCAGAAAGTGTGAAATGCTGCTTTATTAGTCATCAAGCATGACTTCTTTTTAATTTCTTAAATAACTTTTGAAAAATAATCAGAAGGAGGTGTTGATTTTATTGAATGACTCTTTAACTCTGTTAAGTAATTGTTTTGGGGGGTGTTTTTTTTAAGTAAAGAAACCATTAAGCCCTCCTGTTTTAGCAGTTCCATCTCCCTTTATAGGGACCCTGAGGGAAAGAAAAGAAAAGCTCACCAACATCCCGATTTCAGGGCACTCATTTAAAGAATAAGAGCTCTGCTGACCATTATTGTCTAATCCACCAGATGCTCTGTGGGAGAAGGATGGACAGTCTCCTCCTGTGAGATTTACTGCCTCTGAAAACCCACTGGAGGCTCAGCCATGGGTTGATGGCACACAACAACAATAACGTAAAGAATTAGAGAAAGTGTTTTTGATAACACACAACTGATTATTTGGGACACAGGGGCTTTGAATGCAAATAATTGTCCACTACCCCAATCATTCAGAGTAATTCTTCCTGCAAATGGAGTTTTGTTTTAGATGCAGGATGAGCTGAGACCCTAGGTGTGTGCTTGGAGCTGGGACTCAGTGAACTGACTGGGCAAAAATTCCTGCCCAGCTTAAGCTAAGGGCAGAGAAGGGCACCTTGTGACATTACTTTACACTGATCTTCAGTCCTGTGCAGTTCCCTCTGAGTTGACTCACAGTGACGCTGGGTGTACCACAGTAGAACTGCCCCATGCGGATCTCAGTGGCTGTTATTCTTTTGGAAATAGATCTCTAGGCTTTTAGGCTGAAGTTTGTCTGGGAGAACTTAAACTGACCACTATTTGGTTAGTAGCTGTTTTCCTGTTGGTGCCCCCAGGGACTCTCACCTTGTACTTAGCAGGCTGCTTAGATGGGTGGGGACCCTTGGGTGGTGCTGGAAGCGCAGGATGAGATGGGCTGGAATGAGGCACATGGATGGTGTGGTGATTCTTTCTCTCCCCAGAACTGTCTCAGCAAACAACAACTCCTCACAGCCATTCATCAGCTGCAGCAGCTGCTGAAGGGCCAGGAGACCCGCTTCGCCGAGAGCATCCGCACCATGAAGAGCCGGCTGGCTGCACTGCAGAGTTCTGTGAGCAGGGCAGCCCCAGAAGCAGCCCCAGGTGGGTTCCCAGGTGAGCAGGCACCGGTACCTCAGCTTCTCCCCACCCCAGTTTTGCCCCCCCTAAAGAGCACTGAATCCTCACCCTATCCTAGCAGATTCCCGGGCCTTTCTTTGACACTTCTGGGGAGATGGTGTGTAGGGTGAAGGGCCGAGTGCAAGAGAAGAAGCCCACCTCCCCTCCTCGCCCTCAGCCTCGCTGTCATGTCACTTCTTTCACACCTTTACATTCGTTCTGGGCTTGACAACAGTTGAGTCAACATAAACCGTTAAGACCAAACACACTGCCACCCAGTCATGACGACTCTCCACTGTCCATTGAGGATTTCCAAGGATTTAAACCCAAAGAGGAGTCAGTCTCCTCCCTCCTTCTCCTTTGACCCGCTGGTGGATTGTATCCATAGACCCCTCAATTAGTAGCCCCACGTGTAACCAAGCATGTCACCAGGGCTCTTCCCTGTAGCCTTTACAAAGATGCTGGAAGGCAATAGTGTGAACCACAATGTATAAGAACTTTGTAAGCAAACCAATATAAAATAAAAATGTTTTAAAAAACAAAAAAGATGCTGGAAGGCACTGCTTCCAGGAGCTGTTTCCCCTTCCTCATTCCCATCCAGGTAAAGTCCAGTTAATTCACGTTTCTCAGACATAAGAATACCACAGAGTTGGAGACTCTTAAAGTCAAGACTGCCACAGAGTTGGCTCCAACTCAGAGCAGCTTTCCATTGGGTTTCTGAGGCTATAATCTGTACAGAGGAACCACTGCCAGATCCGAACCACTGGAGATATGCAGCCTTTGACTTAGGAGCAAACTTGTTATGAACTAAACCATCAGAGTTTCAAGAGGAGCTCTGGTGGCTTAATGGTAAGGAGTTGTGCTGCCAACCCAAAGGCACACAGTTCAAATCCAGCTTCATGGCAGAAAGACAGGCAATCTCCTCTTGGGTGATTTATTGCCTCCAGAAACCCACTGGAGGGTCAGCTGTGGATTGGCTCTGACTCGATATCACACAACAACAATTACCAGTAGTGATGGTGGAGGCGGGGGGGGGGGGTTGGCTGAGAACAAGTTCCGTTTGTCTGGTAAAGTTACATTGGGGCACCCCCAGACTTCCACCCACTAGAATTAAGCTCCAGGAAACACTGGGGTGCTGCTTACTGGTCACTCAGGTAATGGCCTTCCAGAGGTGGGTGGCTGGCTTTCCTCTCATCTCTCTTAGGGTAACGGCAGGCAGAAGAGTGGTCATCATATTTGTTCTCAGTGAGTCATGTATCTGTGTATGCGAGTCCCCAGGTCAGCAGCCACTTCCCTCAGCTTCTTCCCCACCCTGACCTGGCCCCTCGAAAGCATTAAATCCCTTACCCAAAGTGATCTTTAGCACTTTGGAGAAGTTCTTGACACAGATTTCCCCACTGTGACACGTCTTTTAATTTTATGACTGCTACTGCCATGGGTGTTGATGGTAAATCCAAGTAAAATTAAATAATTGACAACTTTAATAATAATAACAACAATAATACATAATAAAAGTTACATATTGGTCCAGTAGTGAAGATTCCTATTTTCTTAATGTTAAGATATTAGATTCGCTGTTGTTATGTACCATTGAACCAGAACCAATGCATAGCTGACATTTCAGTAGGTTTTCAGAGACTGTAAATCACACAAGAGGAGATTGCCTACCTTTTTCCCTCGGAGCAGCTGCTGAATTTGAACTACATCTTTGACCTGGTAGTGTATGTAACTCCTTACCACTAAGCCAGCAGAAGAACTAATTATTGTTAAATCATGATTCTTCTTATCCCCAGAAACAAGATCTTTCTTGCATTCACAGTGCTAGATTTTGAAAAATCTGTCAAGTAACCTTTTAAAAAGTTTACCACCATATATCTTGTCTCTCCATGAATGTGTCAGGGGTTCAGTGGTAAACCTCTCCACACAGAACACTTGGGTTCAATTTCCAGTCAGTGTGTCTCAAGTGTAGCTGCCACCATTATGTTAGTGGTGGTGCCACGTTGCTGAGACGCTGAGCAAGTGTGTCAGCAGTACATCCAGTCTCAGAGTCTAGGAAGAAAGGCCTGGTGAGCTACTTCCCAAAATCAGCCAGTGAAAACCCTGCGGAGCCCAACAGGCTGATTCCCAACAGATTCTAACCCTGGCACAGAACTGGGCATCAGCCATTGGGAGTCAGGAGCCATATGATGGCATCTTATAGCATTGTGGATCTCACATGTTGTTTGCCAGCCTGGGTACTGATTGGGACACTCCTGTGGCCAGAGAGGCCACTGGCTGCCATATCACAGTGACCACTGCAGGGTGGAGGTCTGAAATGTGCTTCAGGTCAAATTGTAAATAGTGTGAAAATAATCTTTTAGCCCCACCCCACCCCTTAAAATGCAATTGTGAGGAAGGCAAGCTGCTGGATCTGGAAAATCTGTTGTTCATAGGGTTACTATGAGTTTTCTAAGACTCAACAGCACCTAGCAACAATAACATACAGATCATCTCCCCTCCTATGTTTCTGGCCTTTCTTTTAAAGGGAGAGTCACAGCCTATGGGCTCCACAGCTTATCCTGGAAGCCTCATTCCATCCATACTTGTCATGCTTTCTTCCTGCTCATCACATTCTTACACATTCACTTCTCTCCAGGTGCAGGAGCATTGCCGGGGCTGCATGAACCCAGAAGACATGCTCTTAGTGAATCAGCAGAGCAGCTCAGCCCTCCACAGCAGCTGCAATTTGATGTAACTAAAAATTGACCTTTCATTTACATCATTCATTCCTTCCATGTGTCCTCTCCTCCCCAAATTCAAGGCCAATCTTTCCTGAACCGTGCTAGATTTTTGTAACTCATAGAATCTCTTTTTAAAGGATCACTACCCTATATTGTGGTGCGCCTGATCCAGGCCACGGTCTTCACAATTAATTGCTGTGCATCAGAAAGCTGGGCAGTGACTAAGCATGACAGAAGAGTTGATGCCTGTGAGTTTTGGTACTGGGGAAGAGTACTGAACATAATATAGGCTTCCAGGAGAACAAATAGGTCTGTTTTAGAGTGAGTGAAGCCAAGTTTCTCCTTGGAGGCTGGGATTTTGAAACTCCATTTCATGTATTTTGGGCACGTGGCCAGGAAGGACTAGTCCTTGGAGAAGAACATCATGCTTGGAAGAATGGAGAGACAACGCAGGAGAGGAAGACCCCAGATGAGATGGACTGACACTGTGACTGGGATTGTGGGGTAGATGTGTCATAAACAGAGAGAATTGCTAAGGATAGGGCAGGGATCAGAGTTGTTATTCATAGTGCCACTATGAGTCACAGTCAAATAGAGGGCACAAAATAACAACATTATGTCTCTGCTGGGAAGACATTGGTGATTTGAGGGGAAAAGCCTCCACACAGGAGACCTGGGTTCAAGCCTGTAGCATGTATTGAGCATGTTCCATGTGTCAGGCATAATTAGATGTTACCTTACCTGTGAGTTAGTCCAATAGGGCAGTAGCTGCTCCATGGGAGAAAGAGGGCAGTCTCCTCCCATGCAATTTAGTGCCTCTGAAAGTCCACCGGAAGGTGGCTTCCTACTCAGGGCCACATAACAATAATAAAGAGGCCCTTCCATTTCTGCCAAAATACTTGAAATAATTTCCAGCTGTAGTTAGGTGCCATTGAGTTGAGCCATAGTGACCCTATGAGCCGCAAATCTGAACCCAATTCTGAGCCTATCTCACTGTCTCCAACACACTTAGCCCAGTTATTGTGTCAATCTATCTTATCCAGGGTCTTCCTCACAATCTCTGACACACTCAATCAAGCACGTTGCTGTAGTCACTGTATCAATCCATCTGGTTGATGGTCTTCCACTCCTTGGTGGTCCCTCCACCTTTCCAAGCATAATGTCCTTCTCTAAGAAGCAGCCTTGCCTAGCACCATGCCCAAAGTGTGTGAGACGAAGCTTTATTGTCTTTGCCTCCTAGAAGCACTGTTAGCTGCACCTTCTTCAGGACATATGTCTTTGTTCTCTTGGAAGTCCATGGGATAGTATTCAGTACTCTTCTCTAACACGCTTCAAAGGCATCAGTTTTTCTTCTGTCATCCTTATTCATTAGCCAGCTTTTAGATGCATAACAAGTGACTGAAAAAACCATGGCTTAAGTCAGGTACACCTTTGTCCTGAAATTGACATCATTGCTCCTCAATAATTTGGAGAGATCCCTGGCTACAGACTTTCCCAGTGCAATATGTCTCCTTATCTCCTAAGTGTATTAATTATAAATCCAAGTAAGATGAAGTCATTGACAGTTTTAGTCTTTTCACCATCTATCATGATGTTGCCTACTACTGGTCCAGTGGTGGGGAGTTTTGTCTCATTGACATTGAGGTGCAATCCATATGTTGTCTTCATCTTCTTTCTGCAAGTCTTTGCTCTTGCAAAGCCTCACCTGGCCATGCTACTCAGAATTGTCCACCTTCCTCTCAAATCCCTATCCCTGATTTCTGTTTACATTTTCTAGGAAATACTTTTCATCTCTTATCACATCCTATCATTTACTTATTGATCTTGTTTACTCATCATCCCACTTGCTAGACGGGGGGACTTCCTGAAGGCAGTTTTTTCTGTTTTGTTTGATGCTATATTCCAATTATCTAGCATAGAACTTGTCCATGTAAGCACTCAATAAGTAATTTGTCATTCATCCATTTGTTCAAGAACTATTTATTGTACCAGGGATCAGAGTGGCTGGGGCTGAAGATGCAAGGACAAACATGCTTTTTGATGGAGATGATTACCAACAAACATGGAAACCAGTTAGCCAGGCATATGAGTCCAGTGGATCTTAGTGTTAGGAAGAAAGCAGAGTGAGCTCAAGGGCCTTTACCCAGAGCTCACAGGAAGAGGTGATGATCAGAGAGGGGAGAGTGAGAGAGAACCTCCCACCTCCAGGTGAAGAAAGAACAATGGCCAAGGCCTGAAGGTGGCTCTAGGCCCAGCCTGTTGGGGAAAATGAACAGAACCCCACACCATTGGAACTGCATAAAGGCCACCAAGTGGGTGGCAGTGATGGGTGGCTTCTAGGTCTGCTGGAGCCCTGTGCACAGCACTTGGTGTCTCTGAGCTAGTCTCTAAGGGGCAATCTAAGTACTTATCCTGTAGAGTGCTCTGAGACTTCTCTGAGGTGTATTTCCATTGCCAGCACTGTATCCAATCCAGGCAGGCATTCAGAAGAGGGCTGATTACAAATGGGATGCTGTATGACTGGAGGTGATATCTGAGAGGCATGAAACCTGGTCTGGGAAACTGACTTGCTCCAATAACTACACACTGTCCTCTTGCCCCTCGTGCTCAGTGACCAGAGCTTATGGGATCCCTCTCTGCTAGCTTTTACCTGACAACTGGAACGATGACCAGAATTGTTCCAGGAGCCGATCAACACCCTGCCTTGGTGGAAAGCCCCCATCAAGCATGCCTCTTGCCCTGATACTCTCCCTCCTGCCTTAGCCTCCCATTTATAAGCTGCTTAGTTGCCCCACCCTGGTGCGCTTGCATCCTGAACATGCTTGAGCTTGTGGATGTTGACCAATCAATACCCCTTGTGCCTTGATTGAGTAATCATAAGTCTTTATCGCTATCTAAATGGCTGTGGTCCAAGAGGAAGGGATCCTAACCTCATGCTTTCTCCTCACAGTCTCCTGCCCTGCGCTGACTGCCCCTCTGGATGGCAGGAAGTTTGGAGGCAAGTATCTAATGGATCACGAAGTCCACTTCACCTGTGACCTGGGATTCCGGCTGGTCGGGCCCAGCAGTGTTGTGTGCCTGCCCAATGGCACATGGACTGGAGAGCAGCCCCACTGCAGAGGTACCTCGCTCCTGTCCTCTCATTAGGCCAGATACATTTTGTTCCAGCAGGGTCTGATAAATAGAGGTGGTCATTCCTGGGACACTTTCTGCCTGATTCTTCAACAATTCTTCACCCTCTAGCAGCTAATGTGCCTGCTCACTTACCTTCCTCCAAGGCATGGCTTGGTCACTATGGACAAAAACTACTAAGCTTTCCTGACAGGTTAGCCTTGATTCTCTTAAGGGGAAACTGAGACCAGACACCAGGATGGCTGAGCTAAGATTCAAACATGTACACTCTGACCCTAGAATCTACACCTTTTGATAGCTCACTGCCCTGGACACTTGTGACTGGCTATTATAAATGATGTTTTGGTGGTGGTATTGGGTGCCAGTCAACTACAATCTATAACGACCATATGAACATCAGGTTAGAACTTTGCCCTGTCCTGTGGTAACCTCACAATCTCTGCCTTGCTCGAGCCCATTCTTGCAGTTACTGTGACAGTCCATCTGTTTAAGGGTCTTCCCCTTCCTCTCTTTTGCTGGCCTTCTGCCTTTTCTAGCATGATATCTTTTTCCAAGGACTGGTCCCTCCTAACTTGCCTATGTATGTGAGAAAATGTTTCACTATCCTTAACCTCTAAGGAGCACCCCCGCCACACCTCCTCCAAGACAAACTTGCTTGTAGTTTTGGCAATCCATGGTGTATACAAACACCACCGTTCAAAGGCATTCATTCTTCTTCTGTCTTCCTTGTTCTTTGCCAAACTTTCAGATACATAGGAAACAACTGAAAATATCATTACTTGGATCTGTGCATGTTAATCGTTAAACTGACATCCTTGATCTTTAGCACTTTAAAGAAGTCTTTGTCAGCAGATTCTCCCAGTGCAACCTGTTTTTTTATTTGCCTTGGAAAAGGTGCAGCCAGTTTGCTCCTTGGAGATAAGGATGGTTATATATCCTCTGGACATGTTGTTAGGAGGTACTGTTCCTTCGAAAAGGAACTCATGCTTGGAAAGGTAGAGTATCAGCAAAGGAGGGGAAGACCGTCAACAAGATGCTCTGATACAGTGACTGTAACAATGGGCTCAAGTGTGTCGGAGGTGATGAAGAAGGCACAGAGTTGATTCAATGGCACTTAACAAGAACCACCCTAGTGATAAACATTATAGTGAGAAACCCTGTAAGTCAGGGAGAAGATCAGAGCAGAGGTACTGTGGGCTGCTCTGCTCTAGGCTCCAGTTTGGTGAGCTTAGAGAGTGAAGAAATTGTTTAGATGTCACAGTGATGCCTGAGGTAGGGAGGAAAGCTGTGGGGATGAGGTGATGGGGAAATGTGAAACTCTCTTCTATCTATGCTAGGTTTGAGGATAGTAACTTACTGTCTCTTGGTTCTTGAGGTTTTGGTATCTGAAATCTGGATGTGGACGGAGCCATATTAGCTCCAAAGACCCGGGAGAGATCTTTTCTTGTCTCACTTTACTTCTGGTAGGCCCCCGCATTCCCTTGGCTTACAGGTACAGCATCACCTTTCACTCTATCTATTTCCTCTTATTTGTGATAGAACCCCACTCAGACTGGGTTGGGATCCACCATATCCCAATATGGCTTCCTGTTAACTAAATGATAACATCTTCAAAGAATTATTTCCACAAAACAAAATTTAACAGAGCAGTAAACAACAAATGCTGGTGAGGTTGTGGAGAAACTGAAACCCTTATTCACTGTTGGTGGAAGTGGTGCAACCACTATGGAAGGCATTATGGCATTTTCTCAAAAAGTTGCAAATAGAAATACCATTTGACCCAGCTACTGGGAATATACCCTAATGAAACCAATACTACCACCCATGCAGATATATACACACCCATGTTTATTGTAGCTTTGTTCACAACAGCAAAGAGTTGGAAACAACCCAACAACCATCAACAAATGAATGGATAGGGAAGCTGTGGTATATTCACACAATGGAATATTATGCTGCATTGAAAAACAAGGAACTCATGAAATATTATGCAAAATGGATAACTCTGAAGGACATTATGCTGAGTGAAATATCTCAGTCACAAAAGGACAAATACTGCATAATGCCATTGTTGTAAAGCAGGACTGACATCGGTGTTGGGGGGAGACGGGGGAGACTGAGAAAGATGGGATAAATAATATATACTGCATTGAAACAGATGAGGGAGAGAACTGTTTAGGAGGAATACATGATTAGTTATTATGGTCATGACAAGAGTCCAGAATGAAAGCTGCACAGTGGAATGGACTGGTGCTGGGGGATTATATAACAATGAAAGATTTTTTTTAACTTTTCAAAGAGAAAAGCAAACTTGTGGGTAGGGGCGGGCAGGGAGGAAAGTGTGCAACAAGGAATGAATGGAAATCCAAAGTCTCTGTAAACATTTATTAAAACATTTTTTAAAAGGAAGTATTTTCAAACTAAATTTAAGGTTATAATCATAGATTCCAGGGTATCTATTTTCAGGGCATGCAGTTCAATCCATATCAACATTTGAATTACAGATTGGTATGGTGTATGTAAATTAGCCTTGGTGTTATATTTAAATCCTGGATGACACTAGAGGACTGCTTGGAGCAGCTCACGCAGGACTTTCAATAGAGTCACATTTCTAATCTAAAACCTAGGTGAGGCTAAAGCAGGAAACAAGGAACCTGCCTGCCCCAAATGAGATCATAGATATTTTTCATTTCTTTAAGTGTAAAGTTAGCTATGTATTCACACTGTGGTTGTGATTTAACAAGAAAACTAGAATATCCTAACCAGTGTGCTCAGCCAACTGCTGTGCATGACCTCTCACCAGGTTAGGAGACTCTGTACTGGCAATTCTGTGCTCAGCACAGTGTGTTCAATTAATGGTGCTGTCTCCAGGCATACACTTAAATGGTGCCAGCCAAACCTGCCAAGAGGGAGACATTGGGCTCTGATCTGCTTTGTGATGACCAGTCAATGACAGTCTTTAAGGATGACTGGAGACGAACTGAAGCCTTTGAGTTGTGGTATTGGAGAATAGTACTGAATATGCCATCAACAACTGAAAGAACAAACTGAAATGTCTAGGAGAAAGCCAGCCAGAGTGCTGCTTTGAGGGAAGGATGGCAAATATTTGTCTCACATACTTTGGGCAAATTATTAGGAGGGCATATGCCTTGAAAAGGGACATCATGCTTAGAAGGGTGGATGGTCAGTGAAGGAAGACCCTTAATAAGATGGACTGCTATGGTAACTGCAGCAATGGGCTCAAATCTGTCAGAGATTATGAGGACTGCACAGGATAGGATGGGTTCAGATCTGTTGTTCATGAGGTCATTGTGTGTACTCGACTCAACAGCACATGATAAATAGCACAGTTAACTAATTGATGTTTGTGGTACGTGCTGTCAAGGAATCGAATGATGGACTGAGGGAGTAAATCACAACCACCACACCACCAAAACCCCAAACATACACTAAGAGCTTCTCGGAGAAGGTGCCATAGGTGCTAAGACAGAGAGAATGAGGGAGCTGGTCACATGATGGCTGTTGTGGAGATACGGTGAAGCCACCCCCAAGCACGGACAATTTGTGCAGAGACCTCCAAGACAAGGAGAAATTGAAATTGTTTATGGAGTCAAATAAATAGAAACCTTAACTGGAGTGTGTGAACTGAGAATGAAAAGGACAGGGCTAAGACGTACACACAGTCCAGCTATATAGACATGCAAGCGTGATTTGGGTTCTGAGTCCAGTAGACCAGGTTAATGACAAGAGGTCTGTGACTGGATTTGTGATTTGCTGCTATTTAAAGGATGCTTTGGAGGTGGTGAGGAAGGAGTCTGGAAACGAGTTAGGTGGCCACCTGAGGAGCCCAGGGGGAGAGGTGATAGATGGCAGTCCCCTCAGTGTATTTCAGTTCGAGATATGCTTGGAACATAACTAGAGGCTTTCACAGCCATATCCTGTGTGGGTCGAGAGTGAGTGGTGAAAAGCTAGGAAGACTCTCCAACTCGGTCATACAAGGTGGATGATAAATGATGATGCAAACTGAGTAAGAGATGTGGGTTTGTTTTATAAATTTGTTCTGTAGATGTGGGAGGTGAGAGGTGGAAAAGACTGGAGAAGGAAAGCAGTTCAATGATGAGAATTCTACTTTTGACATGTTAAGTTAAAATATGCCACATGTAGGGGAGAATCATTTATTCAGCCCATGGAGTATGGACAGTTGTGTATACACAATCTCAGGCTTAAGAGAGAAGGAGAGTTAGAAACATACATTTGATTTGCACAGCTCGAAACTCATTGCTGATGAGTTGGAACTTGTAGTTTGGGTTTCTGGGACTAACTTGCACAGGGAACTCCTCATCTTTCACCATCAGTGGACTTGAACTGCTGGAGAGGCTCTGCTTTTGGGTCAACAGACACCTCCCTCAGCTACATGACCAAAGCTTCCTACCGAAGGTCCAGAGCAAAGAAAGCACTTTTCAATCCATAGGTAGAGATGAGGGGAGAGAGTCAGGAAGAAAAGAGGCTCAGGACTGAAACCTAAGGAGAGTGTAAGTGGAGGTGGGAGAGGGACAAAAAGACTAGGGCAGAGATTCTGCATTTGTCCACAAAGAGGCTGCAGAAAAGTCCAGGAAGTGGTGCTGGATTGAGAGCATGGAAGCTGTTCTAGCTAATAGCCCCTTCTCTCCAGGTCAGACCATTTAACCTTCTGCATCCCAAAGCCATTTTCCTGAGACCTTGAGTTGTTGTTGTTGTTATGTTCTATCGAGTCAACTGTGACTCATAGAGACCCTATGTACAATAGCCCTAAGCTCTGCCCTATCCTGTGCCAATCTCACCATCTCCATCCGACACACCTACCCCCATTATCCCAGTCACTGAATCAATCCATCTCATTGAGGGCCTTCCCCTCCTGCGCTGTCCTTCCACCCTCCCAAGCATGACATCCTTCTCCTAGCACCAGTTCCTCCTTGCAACATGCCCAAAGTATGTCAGATGAAGCTTCAG